TTGCTTGTGTTCATTTCCTAAAAACTAAAGTTGCTTGTGTTCATTTCCTAAAAACAATATCAGTAGTGCATGATACCAAAGTTGCTTGTGTTCATTTCCTAAAGACAATATCAGTAGTGCATGATAACAAAGTTGCTTGTTTTTGTTTTGCTACACTCTAACTGGATATTTTTCAACAATTCAAAGTTTATCGTCATCAGCAACTTTATATTAATTATAGTTCGCGACCTCCTGAAACACTTGTCCTTTTTTATAACTCCACTTTGTGGTTGAGGGTAGTCACCCAGAATAAGTTTTAATACTATTTCGCTGTTAATAGTGTTTTTCAACTTCTAACGAAAACACTGAAAGTTTCCTTCTTCATAATGTTTAGTCATTTAGATTTCTTCTTTTAGGAATCTCTTTTTTACAAATATTTCTTCTTAAAAATGTATATATATATATATAGTTTCTAAACACGTTGCCTATAGCAACAGGACTCGTAACTACTTTCACACTCTACTGTATTTGTGAATCTTGTGTAGTTGAACAGATCTATCTATGAATTGGGATGTTAAAAGACATTTCATTCGGATGTGTTCATGTCTTGACTGTTGCATATTTTAGAATACAAACCAGAAGATAAGAAAGATGACGAAAGGGTGACTAAACCAGAACATCTCGAACAACCTGAGAATAAAGAAATCAAAGCAGACTGTGAACTGATTGTCTCTGATAAAGATCTGAACATATTTTATCAGGGGAAGCCTGTAGGAAATGGTCATCACGTTAAGCATGGAGATGACATTATGTTATTTTGTCTCAACAGAAAAGCTGTAAACCATCAGCCTGTCATCAAGAAATTGACTTGTCATAATGGTCAATGGAATAAGGAGATTCCATCCTGTCCTTTTGACTCTGGTGAGTTTAAATATATATATAGAAATAATCATGTTTCTTATTCTCTATACAAGAACATAATCCAGCAATTTCGTAACATCCATTAGTACAGTATTGTGATAAAGCATAAATTAGTAGGCATTTTAAAGCATTTATATCGAGGAACAATTTTCTGGAATATACCAATACGTATAACTAGTTAAGCAGGGAGCTTGAACACAACTTCATAAGTTTTGTTTATATCTAGGAAGAATTATCGGAAAAACCTTGTACCCTTACTTAGTACTACATCTGCAGATTTTGTGAGCGTAACCACTTAATATTTTTTTCTTTTCTTTTATTTAGCATTGTTTAAAGTATATATAGTAAATATTTTTGTATAATACTATGTTTCCTTTACTTATTTTAATGTGATGAAATTATATCGGTATTAAATCATTCGTAGTATTAAATCATTCGTATAACTTTACTCACTTGCTCATTTGAGTTAATTTCACGCAATTTGATTAGTGTACTGAATAATATGGCATTTGGCTAAATAGAAAAAAAGATACCAAAGACAAAAATGAATAATTATTATCTCTTCAGTAGCCTCGACCTTGCATTAAAAAGTCTTCTCTTAAATCAGGTAAATTTTCTGAACTGCATTTAACTTTTCAAAATATTTAAATGCTAATGATATCATCAAAAATTCTTTAAGACTATGAAAATCGCTGGGTTGTTAGTGAATCTATTATCTGTTGCTTGTGTTCATTTCCTAAAGACAATATCAGTAGTGCATGATAACAAAGTTACTTCTGTTCATTTCCTAAAGACAATATCGGTAGTGCATGATACCAAAGTTGCTTGTGTTCATTTCCTAAAGACAATATCGGTAGTGCATGATAACAAAGTTGCTTGTGTTCATTTTCTAACGACAATGTCAGTAAAGCATGATAACAAAGTTGCTCGTGTTCATTTCCTAAAGACAATATCGGTAGTGCATGACAACAAAGTTGCTTGTGTTTGTTTCCTAAAGACAATATCAGTATTTCATGATAACAAAGTTGCTTGTGTTCATTTCCTAAAGACAATATCGGTAGTGCATGATAACAAAGTTGCTTGTGTTCATTTCCTAAAGACAATATCGGTAGTGCATGATAACAAAGTTGCTTGTGTTCATTTCCCAAA